CCCAGATCTCTCCAAGACCTTTATCATGAAGGGGTGTTGGATTTTGTCAAAGGCTTTTTCAGCATCTAGTGAGATGATCATGTGATTTTTGTTTTTCAGCTTGTTTATATGGTGGATTACGTTGATGGATTTTCATATGTTGAACCATCCCTGCATCCCTGGGATGAAACCTACTTGATCATGGTGAATGATTGTTTTGATGTGTTCTTGGATCCGATTTGCCAGTATTTTATTGAGTATTTTTGCATCAATGTTCATGAGGGATATTGGTCTGAAGTTCTCTTTCTTAGTTATATCTTTGTGTGGCTTGGGGATCAAGGTTATTGAATCCTCATAGAAAGAGTTTGGCAAAGACCTTTCTGCTTCTATTGTGTGGAACACTTTGAGAAGAATTGGTATAAGCTGTTCTTTGAATTTCTGGTAGAATTCTGCACTCGGGCCATCTGGATCTGGACTTTTTTTGGTTGGGATACTTTTGATGACAGCTTCTATTTCCATAGTGGTTATAGGTCTATTTAAATTGCTTATCTGTTCTTGATTTAGTTTTGGCAAATTATAGCTGTCCAGGAAGTCATCCATTTCCTTTAAATTTTCTAATTTTGTGGAGTACAGGTTTTCAAAGTATGACCTAATGATTCTCTGGATTTCCTCAGAGTCTATTGTTATGTCCCCCTTTTCATTTCTGATTTTGTTAATTTGCGTGTTCACTCTCCGCTGTTTAGTAAGTTTGGACAAAGGTTTGTCTATCTTGTTGATTTTCTCAAAGAACCAACTCTTCATTGCATTGATTCTTTGTATTGTTTTCCTGGTTTCTACTTTATTGATTTCAGCCCTCAATTTGATTATTTCCTGGCGTCTACTCCTCCTGGGGGAGTTTGCTTCTTTGTGTTCTAGAGCTTTTAGCTGGGATGTTAATTCTCTGGTATAACTGTTTTCCTGTTTCTTCATGTGAGCACTTAGTGCTATGAACTTCCCCCGTAGCACTGCTTTCAAAGTGTCCCATAGGTTTGGGTATGTTGTGTCTTCATTCTCATTGAATTCGAGGAAGTCTTTAATTTCTTTTTTATTTCCTCTTTGACCCAGGGATGGTGCAGTTGAGCATTATTCAATTTCCATGAGTTTGTAGGTTTTCTGCAATTTGTGTTGTTGTTGAATTCTAATTTTAAGGCATGGTGGTCTGATAAGATGCATGGAGTTATTCCAATTTTTTTGTAGCTGCTGAAGTTTGATATGTTGCCAAGTATGAGGTCGATTTTTGAGAAGGTTCCATGTGGTGATGAGAAGAAGGTATATTCTTTTTTATGTGGATGAAATGTTCTATAGATATCTGTTAATCCCAGTTGGGTCATTACTTCTATTAGACCCTTTGCTTCTTTGTTGAGTTTCTGTCTGGTATTCCTGTCTAGTGGTGAGAGTGGTGTGTTGAAATCTCCCACTGTAACTGTGTGGGGCTTTAGATGAGATTTAAGTTCTAATAATGTTTCTTTAACGAATGTGGATGCCTTTGTATTGGGGGCATAGATGTTCAGGATAGACACTTCATCTTGGTGGGTTTCACCTGTGATGAGTATGTAATGACCTCCTTCATCTCTTTTGATTGATTTTATTTTAAAGTCTAGTTTGTTAGATATTAGGATTGCTACCCCTGCTTGTTTCTTGGGTCCATTTGATTGAAAAATTTTTTCCCAACCTTTAACTCTCAGGTAATGTCTGTCTTTGAGGGTGAGGTATGTTTCTTGTATGCAGCAGAAGGAAGGGTTCTGTCTTCGAATCCATTCTGCTAGTCTGTGTCTTTTTATGGGTGAGTTAAGGCCATTAATATTGAGGGATATTAATGACCATTGATTGCTCATCCTTCTTCGATTTGCGATGGTTGTTGTTGGTGGAATTATGTGTGGAATTTCACCCCTTTGTTCTTTTGGCTGTTGGTAGAGAGGGATTCTCTAATGCTTATGTTTTTCTGGTTGTAGTTAGCTTCCTTGGGTTGGAGTTTTCCTTCCAAAATTTTCTGTAGGGCTGGGTTAGTGGACACATATTGCTTGAATCTAGTTTTGTCATGGAATATCTTGTTTTCTCTGTCTATAGTGATTGAGAGCTTTGCCGGGTATAGTAGTCTGGGCTGGCATCCATGGTCTCTTAGTGTAGGTAGAATATCTATCCAGGACCTTCTGGCTTTCAGAGTTTCCATGGAGAAATCAGGTGTGATTCTGATAGGTCTGCCTTTATATGTTACTTGACTTTTTTCCTTAGCTGCTCTTAATATTCTTTCTTTATTCTGTATGTTTGGGGTCTTGATTATTATGTGGCGAGGGGATTTTTTTTGTGGTTCACTCTAATTGGTGTTCTGTAGGCTTCTTGTACCTTCATTGGCATGTCTTTCTTAAGATTGGGAAAGTTTTCTTCTATGATTTTGTTGAATATGCCTTCTGCCCCTTTGAGGTGGATTTCTTCTCCTTCTTCTATCCCTATTATTCTTAGGTTTGGTCTTTTCATGGTGTCCCATCTTTCCTGGATGTTTTGTGTTAAGGATTTGTTGGATTTAAGGTTTTCTTTGGTTGATAAATCCATTTCTCCTAGTGTATCTTCAACACTTGAGATTCTCTCTTCCATCTCTTCTATTCTGTTGGTAATGCTTGTATTGGTAGTGCCTGACTGTTTGTCCAGCTTTTCTATTTTCTGCCTTTCTTCAGATTGTGTTTTTTTTAATATCTCTATTTCAGTTTTCAACCCTTGCTGTGTTTGCATTGCTTCTTGCAATTTTCTGTTTATCTGTTCGTCCGTTTGTTGCCTTTTATGAATTTTTTGGTTTGTTCTTTCTTCCATTTCTTGCATTTTTTGGTTTGCTTTTTGTTCCATTTCTCGCATTTTGTGCTTTGTTTCTTCTTCCATTTCCTGTCTTTTTTGCCTTGTTTCTTCTTCCATTTTTTCATTTTTTGCTTTGTTTTTTCTACCATTTATTTCATTTTTTGCTTTGTTTCTTCTTCCATTTCCTGCCTTTTTTGGTTTGTTTCTTCTTCCAATTCTTGCATTTTTTGGTTTGTTTTTTCTTCCATTTCTTGCATTTTTTGGTTTGTTTTTTCTTCCATTTCTTTGAGGGATTTTCCAATATCCTCTTTTAGGGCCTCTATCATTTTCATGAAAGTGCTTTTAAGGTCGTTCTCTTCTGCTTCGTTCGCATTGGAATGTTGGGGTCTTGCTGGTGTGGAGTCTCTAGAATCTGGCGGTGTCATATTTGTTTTTCTGTTGCTAACTGTGTTTTTGTATTGTCTCTTTCCCATCTCTTCTTCTAGTGGGTGCAGAAAGAGCCCCTTACTGGTCTGGGGACCAGAGTTCCCTTTTGGTGGGTGCTAGCAAGTCCAATAATCTGGTGGTTCTTCTATTCCTTGTCCAAATGCTGGTCCCGTGGGTGGAGAAGAAGAACAGGAATCTGGGGCGCTTAGCCTCCTACCTGGTCCCCTGGACCCTATGCTGGGTCCTGTTGTACCTGATCTGGAACAGCTACTCCCCTGGTCTCCCTGGCTCCTCTGGTTTCCTGGTCTCGTTGGTGGGAGAGAAGATCTGGAGTCTGGGGTGCTTGGCTCCCGCTGGGATTGGGAGCTGTGTGCAGTTCCCAGGCGATCTGCAGGCACTGGAACACAGGCCGGGAAGCCGGCCTGCTTACCTGATGCTGCCTGAGGAACAGGTGCTTCCCTGGACTCCCAGCCTCCTCTCGTTTCCTGGTCTCGTTGGTGGGAGAGAAGATCTGGAGTCTGGGGTGCTTGGCTCCCGCCGGGATTGGGAGCTCTGTGCAGTTTCCAGGCGATCAGCAGGCACTGGAACACAGGCCGGGAAGCCGGCCTGTTTACCTGATGCTGCCTGAGTAACAGCTGCTTTCCTGGACTCCCCGCCCCCTCTCCGATTTTTGTTCTAATATATGTTTGTGTATAGCACGGGGAAGAATATATAAAGATTTGTAACTAGGTGTGTTTCTAGCTCTAAATGGCTGGACTTCATCATAGTTAAGATATTTTCTTATGTCTGTTATAATTTAGGATCTGGAGGTATATGTTTAAATATCTGAGTACTGGTAGGATTCACAAAAAAAGTATCATGGCAGGAACACAAAAGTAAAAACAAACAAAATTAATTCAAATTGGTACTGGTCTTTAGTTTAGTGCAGATTCAGGGTTCACCATGTATATTTTCTCATATTGATTGTAATTGCTCAGGCTGCTGTCAGTAATGATGAATGTGGGGGGGGTCTCATTTCACCTAGAACTCATCTTGCCCAGGATTGCTCTCACCCTACTGACTCAGGCACTGATTGATTCTTGTGATCTTTGTGTCCCCAGATATGAGGTCACGTGTGACCTGCTTTTGTAGGAGAAGAGGCTGTGCTTCTAGAGAACGTCTTATTGGGTACTGCAGGTTCGGAAACACCATCTACGGACTCTGCTGCCGCCGATGATTACTAAGAACAAGAGGGATAGGTTTGCATTAGGAGTTGACAGTATGAAGAAGAATACTATTAGTCCTGCACTGTGTCATTGAGTTTCTTCCTCTTTTGTATCTAAATAAAGTCCTTGCAGCAAGTTCTCTGTGTGTGCTTGCGTTTCTCTCTTGTCTCCAAGCAAGACTCTCAGAATCAGTGTCAGATTGCTATAAAGAAATCCCTGGCTCTGGGTTGAAGGAATATCAGGGCTATCACCCAGTCTTCTGGTGAATAATAAGAATGGTCAGTTCTATTGTAGTCATTCTAATCTCTCATCTCCTAACTCAGCATCCTTTATAGTAGCAGCACTCTCAAAGTCATTGTCAATGGGAGATGTAGAAAACATCGCGGTTATCTTCAAGTGTCTGTAGTTGTAATGACCTAAATACTAAAAGAAGCCAAGATTCACATTCTTAAAGTTAGGATTTCCCTGAATAGGCCAAGATCATATATCTGTCTATAAAACCCTAGATTTGTATCACCTACACAGACACAACTTTAAGTAGTATTAAGAACGGTTAGCACATGCTGCAATCCAGAGCTTTATAGAGGCTAGGTAACAAGGAGGACCCAAGGGGAGACACATGGATTGTCCTGGGAAGAGGAAATAGAAGAGACCTCCTAGGATAACTGGGGGCTGGTAGGGATGGGTACATTGGGGATCAGGGTAGGTTAGAAGGAGAAATGAAAGAGGAATTTTGATATTCAAGGGGTTATTTGGGGGCCAGGTAGAAATCTGGTGCATGGAAAAGGACCACAAATCTACAAGGATGGCCCCAGCTATGACTCCTAGCAATAGTGGCTAGGTAGTCTGAACTGGCCATCTCTTGTAATCAGATTGGTGAGTATCCTCATTGTCATAAGAGAGCCCTTGTCCAGTAACTGATAGAAGCAGATGCAGAGATTCACAGACAAGGTCTTGGCCAAGCTCCAGAAATCCTGTTGAAGAGAAGGAGGAAAGATTGTATGAACCTGAGGAGTCAAGGTTATTACAGGGGAAGAAACATAGACAACTAACCTGGGCTCAAGATCTCACAGTTAAGGGACCCACATGCGAATGATCTAGGATTTTTACATAAGTAGAGCTGAAGTCTGGTCTATTTATGGGACTCCTAGTAGTGGAAGCAGGTCCTGTCCCTGATAATTTGTCAGGGTTTTTGGATATCTAGTCTTCATACTGATTGCCTTACCAAGGCATAATAAGAGGGGTGGAGCTTCTTACCTCAACTTGATATGACAAGTTATTGGACATCCACAGGAGGCCTGCCCTTTCTGAACAGAAACAGTGAAGGAGTGGATTGGGGAGAGGCAGAGAGGAGGAGGGAAGGGAATGAGAGGAGAGGAGGGAGGAGAAACTGCAGCCAGGATAGAAAACAAATGAATAAACTTAATTAATCAAAATTTGTGTTGGCTGAGGATAGAAAGAAAGTTGTGGCACAAAAGGCCAGAGAAGAAGCAGGGATCATGCACAAAGTTGTCCTTGGTGTCATGAAAGCAACTTTGCAGTCTCTGACTCAGCAGTGCCATCTCAAGTCCTGTTCTCTGTGCACTTGCTGAACACATGATGTTTATGTCAGAATGACAACGTTCATGAAACACTGCTTGGAAATCAATGCCAGAGAAAATTATAAGCTTTCAAAAAATTTTAAAACCTAGGAATCAATGCTAATTTGTTAAATTTATGAAGAGCTTAACACTGCATACTAATTGAAATGGAAAACGAACAATAACAAGCATATACAAGGAACTAGAGATTATTATATCTATGAAAAAGGAGTAATATTCATACAAAATGCAAATAGAATTTCAATGGTATATCAAACTTTGCCTCTCACCTTAGAAAATTTGTTTTTAAAATTGTCCAGCTGGGTGGTGGCCGTACATACCTTAAATCCCAGCATTTGGGAGTCAGAGATAGATGGATCTTAGTGAGTTTGTGGCCAACCTGGTCTACAAAGTGAGCTCCAAGACTAATAGGACTACACAGAAAAACTATGTTTCAAAACAACAAATACATATACTTAACATATATTGTTTATATGAAGCCCCAAAGACTGGAAGAATCCAATGAATCTCACCAAATCCCTGTGTGCAAGGCAGGCTGTGGATGAAACTGTATGTTCTATATTTTGAAATTATTCCATAGATAAATATTTAGATAAAAAACTTAAAGATAATCAGTTACACTTTTTTGACTGTTACTTCTATGAATAAGAAAGTGAAGCTCATGGAGGATCAACAGAGCTTCTTCCTGAATCACACAGCTCTGCACAGGATTCCAGGGCACCTCTTCAACCCACTCCATCCCACTATCATACAGGGAATCACCACTCACCTTGAGCTTGAAGAACAGAGCCTTCTGGGCCTCCAAAGGAGATGGACACATCCTGGTTCTCTACTCCTGGCTGCTCCTCATTTTTAGCCTCCTCAGTTGCTTCTGGCAGAGGATCTACCAGGGACTGAAAGGCCAGCAGGACATGGGCAGAGAGGAGGACAAGTGTCTTCATGGCTGAGAGTCACCTGGAGGAAGGGTGAACAGGAACCAAGTGTGTGGGAAGTGAGGAGGCAGACTCCATTCATAGGGCTGTCATGAGAAGTTGCAGACACAGGCTCTGTGTACTCTCTTTCCCTACAGAGAGACTGCTGTCCTCGAGAGCCCTTTGATGTTCCTCAGTTCTCACAGCCTCTGCCATGATGGTGGTGTCAGTGTTCAGTGACGTCACTTCCTTCCTGCTGAGAATGATGAAGGGGTATTGCTATCTTCTCCTCTTTCAGATTTGCTTGATCATTTACCTTTCTGTGCTCAGGGGGAAAAAAAGAGGTGGGTATTTTCCAAGTTCGTAAGCTCATGAAATGAGGAGTAGTTGTGTGTTGAATTAGGAGGTTGAAGTTCTCAGAGAGTGTGGACCCTGAGACAGACCTGAATATCTGTGGATTGGATAGTGAGTTCTTTGAGTCATTCTGGAGTATTTTCATCCTCATGAAGGAAGTCTTTGTGAATCCCTTTCTTTGGGCCATTATTGAGAAAGTAAGATGGCCCTCGTGAATCTTGGTCAAGAGCCGAGGGACAGAGTGGGTCAGACTGAAGTTAGAGCAGGTTGTTCTGGAGGAGCCAGTGTTACCTGAACATATCTCATGAGTGCATTCCTGGTGCCTCTTCATACTTTGGGAGCCATCAAATGATGTGCTGTCATTCTTGTTTGATATTGTGTTAGTTTTATTCTTAGGAGATAAGGCACAATATACAAAACCATACAATAAAGACTTTGCATGCTGTTTCTCATCATCTGGATGGTAGGAGATGCCCTTCCACGAAAGCAGCAGAATTACCAGGACACTTTTCTGTACCTAAGTGTTACCATTTCCCAGTACTCATGTTGTGTAAGAAAACAAATAAACAAGCTTATCATTTTTTCTCTTGCCTCAGATTACTCCTGGTATGTGCTATCTCTGAATTCATTTGTAAAATTGAGATCCTTTTGCAGGTAGTAGAAATTAGTGATTTCTGTGCTTTTCTCATAGTAGGAAAATATCAATGTATGTCATCATATGGATACTTGTATAGTAAAAAATATATAAATATACCATCTACCCAAAAAGCACCAATGGTTTTGGCTACATATCTAGAAGCAGAAATACTACATTATTCTAGTGATGCATATGAAGTCATATATGCCCACTGTCCCCATCCCATAGTACACTGGTGACTGTTGATCATGCTACTGACCATCTTGAAGCCAATAAGACAAAAATGATGGATACACCACGTGTCTTCCCAAGATTATGTGTCACTGACTGGCAATTCCTTCAATCAGTGCCTTATCCTCTGCATGTCCAGACCTAACTAAGATTTGTCCTGCCATTATGGAGTAGTCTACAATTTACTTGACTGAATCTGAATCATATATATATATATATATGTATATATATATATTGCTCATTCTGTGTACCAAGAATGGAGAATAATTAAAATACTGCTCACTCTGACACCTTGAAAGTCTATGCTACTTACCCATGATGCTGTGAGGCTTAGTCAAGAGCCTTTGGAATGAAAGTGTCTGATTCTTAAGTGAAATCCTTAAGTGAAATCCTAATAAGGTTTAAACAAAACCCTTATTAGCAATTGAAAAGAGGAGCACGGATTCTAGATAGAAAGTGAAATAAGGAAGCCAAATTATTCTGCTGGCCTAGTTATATGCCTCTCTTCTGTCTTAATTTGTTTAACTTTTTTTTAACAAAAATCTATATATGTGTGTATGTACTATATATATGTTTAACATATATTGTAGGAATTAAGGAGATTTAATTTAACAGAAAAACAATAATACAACACCACAGCATAGAATTCAAGGAGAGGACAGAACCATCAAGAAAAAAGACAACAAAAAGATAAGGTGGACATTTAGTGTCAGGACTCTTTACAGGAGACCTTCTGTCTATTAATTTCCTGTCAGGCACTTCTTAAACTCTGTGGGGTTTTCTAGAGCTCAGTGTCATGTGTGCTCAAGGGACAATTTTTTGACTTTTCCTAGCAGGCTCTGCATTAGAGAACTAGATGGTTCTGACATCATGTAGAGTGGACCGCTTTTCCTTTACCATGTTCAGGCAAATGTTGTCTTGAATGTCTATGCTGGGGTGGTAGCAGGGAGTGAGAAACATATCCGTGGGTCCATTGTAAGGGTAGCCACTGAGGGAATCTAGTGAGAGCTTATCCCTCAGGTCTTGATATACTGTGATGGCTGCTCCATGGATGGTCCCTATCCATTTGAACTGGTTGTCTGATTCAGGGAATGTGAAAATCCCTTTGTCATCAGACATAAAAAGGATCATCAATCCTGCTGAATTCTCTTGCCCACAAGGCAAGATACCCCACAAGTGACAGCAACACTGACTGCAACAGTGTTGTAGAGATTTTGTTAGGGTGTGGGGATGCTGGAACAGGAGAGCAGACATGAAAGGGCAACTCAGTTTTCTCTTAATTTTCATGAACAAAGTCAAAAATGCATCTCACATGCAATAGGCTCACAGATTCTTCTGAAACAATCTCATTCTGAGAGAATGAAAGAAGACACCTCAAGGAGGAACACCAATGAATTCATGTGGTGAGAACTGGAGTGAAAAACAAAGAGAAAATCTGTTCAAGAGATAAAATGTCAAGGAAACAAATCATGCACAAAGAATGCCAGACAACTGAAACTAAACTTATGATGGCCAACACGATGGCTTAGTGGGAGAGAAGCTATCACCGCACCTGACAGACTCAGAATCCACATAGAGAAGGAGAATCAGACTTCCATTAACTGTCTTCTTATGTTTTTGGCTGTGAACCTAGCCTTTAATGGCTGAGCCATCTCTCCAGCCCATCATTAACTGTCTTCTGACATCCACATGTGTACTGTGGCACAGGTGTAATGTGCTCACTACAGAAGTTTACATGAGACAGACCCCCCATGTTGTAAAATATCATTTTAAGTAGGCAAAGATGTATTACATATGTGTCTGTTGCAGAATATTAGTTTAACTGTGTAAAGGTGAGTACCCGCCAAGGTTCAGTTACAGAATGCATGCTTTTGTCTCAAAGGTGGATGCCCTAGTTTGGTGTAACTGTAAAGATTCTCAAACAGTTAACTCCGTTTGGCCTTGGACAGACACAGAAGAACTGTTAGTTCATATACTGATTGAGAATCACTGTAGTTTGTGATGATCAGAAGACATGTGCCATTGAAATCACATCTTCTCTATCAACATGGCATTGTCAACACATCCTACAATGTGTGAGATGTCATCAGTCATCATTGTAATGAGCCTCCACACAAACTTCAGTTAGCAACCTATGGTATCACAAAAAACACCCAAAATCTTTCAAAATATCCCACTCATCACAGAAACTTGAAATGGACGACACACGGTTACTGGTTCATAGTAGCCAATACTGTGGCAGGCCAAAGTTATGGATTCTCACTGTGAGTCTGGTCTCCTTGTAGAGTATGGACACACGGGGATAGATGTGTAAACTAGGGATGGGTCAGAAGTCCTGTATTGAATTCATAATAAAAGTTCAATATGATTTCACTGGTTTGTAAACACTCATCTTTAAAACAGGGAGGTATGCCTTCACGATGTGAGGAAACTCCTCAGCCTAAGGTGAGGCTCCATTTGCTTTCCCTCATCCATCCTAACATCATAGTCTTCTGTCAGAAACATCTGCACATTACTCTGTTGGACTTTCCCTGTTTTTCTTCTTCCCATCATCATTATCGTTTCTGATACACTTCACTTCTCAGCTCATCCAAGGCTTCCATCCTCAAGTGAGACCTCATGTCTCTCTCTTCTGTAGGTATATCTAACCTCATTTACTTCATCTTGGATAACTGCTTATTTTGTGAGATCTGTTTTCAACAATAATATTATTAAAGGCATAAAGTTCTGGAGATATTTGACACTAGAAAATATGATCTTTTCTCGTTTAACAAATATACATTATTAGTTATTGGATAAAACACTTAAATACTATTGAACTTAAGTCACTTCTTTTTTATAATATCTTTTATATATATGTATTTTTTAATTTAAATTTAAATTAGAAACAAGGTTGCTTCACATGTCAATTCCAGGTCCCTCTCCATTTCCCTCTCCTCCTCCCGTGCCCTCCCACCAACATCCCCAATAACCCCTCATTTCCCCAGGGAGGGTGAGGCCCTCCATGGTGGTGTCCATAGTCTGTCATTTCATCCAGGACAGGGCCTGGACCTTCCCCAAGAGATGCAGGGCCTTGTTTACCTGGATCTGCTGGTTTCCTGGTCTTGTTGGTGGAAGAGAAGACCTGGAATCTGGGGTGCTTGGCTTCTGCCGGGATGGGAAGTTCTGTGCGGTTCCCAGGCAATCCCCAGGCACTGGAATGGGAAGCTTCTTACATAAGGTAAAAATTCAAAATTTCCACTGATTATATAAGTCACGACAGCTTTGTGTGACTTCATAGAAATCATGATAATTTGAAGCTTATGATGTCAGATAGCATTCTCAAATTACATAATATATGCAGTATATTGACATTAGCTTATCCTTATAGATTGCTGATGTCTTTTATCTGTTCTGATAAGAGGTTTTCACAATAGTCCAACAAAGTAGCTGCCTTTGTTGACCAACATTTTGTGGGTTTGTAAAGGACCTTTGAAGAGGTTAATTGCCTTACTCAGAGACACTAAGGATTACACAAGAGGGCTGTTGCCAAATCCCTTGTACTTCATCACTGCCCAGTGATCCACATTAGCTTCTGCATTTTAGAGTGTTAACTTCTGTCATTTTTTGGGACTCTTTGTTTTCCTTGCTTAGAACTTGAGAGTGGCTCAAGGTTGGAGGACTTCTGTTAGCAGATAGTCGCTCAACAGCTTCTCCTTGACCTCTAACTCTGCAAATATCCTCCTCTGGGATTAGTTGTGAACTCACTAGTGAATCACCTACACTCCCTAGAAATATTTGAAGAAAAGGCTTTTGTCAGATATCACAAGTCAAAAAAGAAAATCGCACATCTGATCACTGCTAAAGAAACCGAGTTGATTATTAAGGGAAACTGCAAGTTGTGTTGACACTTTACACACTAGTTTGTGACAGAAAACAAGATCTATGTCTAAATATCATATATGAGAGAGTACATACCATGTTTTTCTTTTTGTGACTGGGTTACCTCACTCAGGATGGTTTCTTCTAGTGCCATCCATTTGCCTGCCAATTTCAGGATTCCATTGTTTTTTTTCACTGGGTAATACTCCATTGTGTAAATCTACCACATTTTCTCTATCCACTCTTCGGTTGAGGGGTATCTACGTTGATTCCAAATTTTGCCTATTACAAATAAAGCTGCTATGAACATAGTGGAACAGACATCCTTGTTGTATGAATGAACATATTTTGGATATATGCCTAAGAGTGGAGGTGCTGGGTCTTGTGGTAGGTTTATTCCCATTTATTGAGGAATCTCCACACTGATTTCCAAAGTGGCTGCACAAGTAGGCACTCCCACCAGCAGTGAAGGAGTGTTCCCCTTTCACCACATCCTCTCCAGAATAAATTGTTGTTGGTGTTTTCATTATTATTATTAATTATTTTTAAGTTTAAATTTAGGTTAGAAACAAGGTTGCTTCAAAGTCAGTTCCAGGTCACTCTCCCTTTCCCTCCCCTACTCCCCTGCCCTCCCCCCAACACCCTCATTATTCCCTTATTTCACCAGGGAGAGTGAGGCCCTCCATGGGGATGTCCATAGTCTGTCATCTCATCCAGGGCAGGTCCTAGACCCTCCCCCAAGAGTTCAGGGTGAGAGTGGATCTCACATTGTTAGATGGGAGTCCAAAGTCCATGTGTATACTCTGGATGAATACTCATCTACTGCCCAAGGCTCAATAGATTACCTAGGCCTCCTCACTGACACCCACATTCAGAGGGTCTTGATCAGTCCCATGTTGGATTCCCAGGCTGATGCCTGGGATTCAAGAGTTAACCTTTGTCAGGTCAGCTGTTTCTGGGAGTTAAACCAGCACAGTCTTAATCCCTTTGGTCATCAGTCCTCCCTCTCTGTTATTGGCTTTCTTGAGTTCAGTTCAGTGCTTAGCCGTGGTAGTGTGCCTCGTCTTCCATCAGCCACTGAATGAAGTTTCTGTATCCCAGACTCTCTGTCCATGGGATTGTAGCATTATTTGTAATAGCCAGAACTTGGAAGCAACCTAGATGCCCCTCCACTGAAAAGTGGATAGAGAAAATGTGGTAGATTTACACAATGGAGTACTATTCAGCAGAAAAAAAACAATGGAATCCTGAGATTTGCAGGCAAATGGATGATACTAGAAGAAACCATCCTGAGTTAGGTAACCCAGTCACAAAAAGAGAAACATGGCATGTACTCTCTCATATATGGATTTTAGACATAGATCTGGGAGTGCCAGTCGTTGGTGTTTTTTATTTTAGCCACTCTGACAGGAGTAAGATGGTATCTCAGAGTTGTTTTGATTAACATTGCCTGGATGGCTAAGGATGTTGAGCACTTTCTCAAGTGTCTCTCAGCCATTTTAGACTCCTCTATTGAGAATTCTCTATTTAGTTCTGTAGCCCACTTTTTAATTGGATCCTTTGGTGTTTTGGAGACTTGCTTCTTGAGTTCTTTGTAAATTTGGAGATCAGCCCTCTGTAAGATGTGGGGATAGTGAATATCTTTTCCCATTCTGTGGGCAAAATGGCATGCTTCTTAAAGGTTACCTCTTAATGGTTCAAGACACTCTTGGACTTCAGTGGCCAGTTCTGCTCTGACAAATGGCAGGAAAAATGGCAAGTGAATACCAATAATATAAATAATTCAAAAGAGCATGGTGGATGTTTGTGTAGACAGTTTTATTAAGTGCCACTGTGACAAGCTCTGATGATCAGCAAAATAGTGCGCAGGTGTATGAAATATAAGATATGCTTTTTGGCTCAGAATTATAAGCCTAAAAGGCTATTGAAGAGGTCATGT